AAGTGCTTTCTGCATTACTTTTTCCATGAACTAATTTACACTCGGGCCAACAGCGTATCAGCATTCCCTTTCCTCTGCAGCCTCAACAGCATCTTCTTTTTTTTTTAATAATAACTACTCTCCAGCCACGCTCTTTCAAGGCCAATGTGGGGAAGAGCCATGAACATCCATTTTCCCGAAGAGAATTCTTGCCTGCCCACTGGCAGAATGCTTGTTTTCATCTGTCTTTCTTGTTTTTCAAAGAAAAACCAAAGGTAAAGTGGTATCATCTTCCACACCTAAACCAGTTTGTAGCTGCCAGAGCCTGCTGGGAAGGGGCCGGTCAAGCACGCATTGATCTTGTCACCTGGAATTTGAGAGATCAACAAGCCCCATAGCAACCGACCATACAACTGCCCATCAGCGCCCATCCTTTCATGGGATTAGCTCAATTCTGGCTCTGCAGACACTGGCAGCCACAGGTCACAAATCCTGGGCCTCTGTGGGCTTTCCTCATCACCCAGGGCCACAATGGGCTGCCTGTCCTAGGCAGAGACACAGCAACATTCTCTTAAACTGAAAATAAACTTAAATCCACTTCACCAATAATCCTCTGAGGGCACAGTCCCTGCCTCCTTCCTCGGGGACTTTAAAACACACCTCTCTCTGACCCAAACAGGTAGGTGAGATCTGACTTTAAAGAGGGGAAAATCGGGATGAATTGGGGTATCAGAAATGAATCCCAAGTGTTTTTGTGTAGGAACAGGCATCCACATCCCAAACTGTACCTGGGGATGGAGGAAAATGCAGGAGAGGAGGAGAGAAAAAAAGGGGGACAAAGTGGCTAAAAGTAATTGAAAGCTTCCCTTTTGGTTCTTTCCAGCTCTGGTTGCTTTGCCAAGATCATAGGTGAAGGCAGGGTCAGTTCTGGCTGGGAGCTGCTGCTCTGGGAGATGGAGAGTCACTTCACCTCCAGAAAGCTCATTTGATCATCTGTAAAATGGGGAATCCCATAGGTGGTTGTGATGATAAAATGAAAAACACATTCTTAACTTGTATGAGTTACATGCTGTATAGTAAATTATGTGCTATATAGTAAGCTCACAAAAATGATTCACTGTTATCATAATTGAAGGACAGTGGTTTGGTGTGCTAAGCGCTAAATACAAGCCAGAAAGATGTCTTAGAGAAGTAGACAAAGAAAACTGTAGCTCAGAATGAACAGTACCAAGAATGGCATGTCCTCCAAATTGAGCTCGGGCAGTTGGATCTGAACCTATCCTACACATGTGAGTCTATGGTATGAAGTAACAGTCTCCACCTATAGCTCTCTTTGCTGCCTATAAGGTCATTCATTTTTGAACAAAGCTGACCCCAGACTATACTGTGATCATTTAAGGAAGAGCACAAAATACTGGAGAAGGCTAGTCTTTAAGCTCTAGATACAGAAATCCTCATATTCTTGGGTGTTCCCTTTCAGACAGAGAGTCAGAGCCACAAGCACTGATCCAAAAATCCCCTTTCCAAACAAATTTTCCATCTTCTACCAAGGTTCACCTCCCTGTTTAGTGCACACTGGTGTCTACAGTTGCTAGAGCAAGAGTCTCTCCTTATCCTCCAAGGCAGGAGTTCTGTGAAGACCCCGTGACAAGGGGACAAAATGAAACATATTTAGGGACAACACAGGAAAAACTCATATTGTCAATGCTCCAAAACCTGGCTACCTCAGGCTTGGCCAGTTATGCGTGAGCAGAGAAGTGTGTCATCTACATGGCAGTCATGGCCTAGATGGGTCTGGAACTGTGGCAAGGTAAGGCTCTAAGACAAAGTGCCAGGAGAAAGATCAATTCAATCATCTATTTCTGCCAGGAAGAACAGCACCAGGAAGGAATCAAATGTACCGTTTGTCCTCTGGGGACCTCTGCCTTGATCCTCAATGAATCTCCTGTTAGATGCCACCTGCAGCAATTCCCATACTTCACAATGCTCTCCATTGCTTCCGTTGGCCTTATGATCAGCTCTGCCAAGATCTGTATTCTTGGGAAAGACAGAATCCTTCTCAATCTCATTGTCTTCCTCTATAAATGGAAATAATTTTGCTCAGCACAAATCACAATTAGCATGTTTGTGGGAAGTTAAACTGTGAAACTCAGCATAAACGAAAAGCTATGCACCACTCTTGCTTTCTTAAAAACGTGTAAAGCTGTCAGACACCATACACCATCTAAGTACAGCAGTGTTAGGTTTGAGCCCAACAGTGATTAGATAGGGTACGGGGTGGAGAGGGTGTCTCAGAGCAGTGGGTCTCCTGGCTGTCAGGAAGCTGGATTGGTGGCCATGCCAGGAGTTGAACTCGAAGGTACTTTGTGTGTCCTCTCAACTCCATGGGCCCCACTCTGGCATTTTTTCTGATTCCCTCTGGTTTCCATTTGCTTCCTGCCTCTAGCGCCTGGCCATGTCAAATTTCACCACCAAGTTTCTGAGCTTTTCTCATTTTGTTCATCGTCTTCAGAACACTGCTACTTCTTTTACCTTTCAAAGAATTCAAACTTGAACTCTACTCACTCCTGCCCATCACCAGCCTGAACTCAGAGTTGCTGAGAAGGGAAAGCACCCTCATAAGCAAGCTCCTCCTTTCTTTACATCACTAGACCTGAGTACAGACAGCATCTCCATCTCCACACTGCTCTGGCCAGGTTATGCCTCAGTCAATTACACAACTGTGTCTTAGTAGCATTGGTAGGGCCCAAATCAGGGTATTCTCTGGGAAGATTCATTTTGTACTGAGCACAGCATAATCTCACTGCATCGAAGATAGAAAATTCTAGACCCACCCCTCCACATCTTCGTTATTGAACCCAATATGTGACCCATTTACCATGTGCTAAAATCTCCACCTTCTGCTGATTCTCAGATCAGATCATAACCCAGATTTACCATGGTCCAAAGTCTGATATCTCATCGGGGGCATGTCATTTGGGGGCATGTCATTTGGGGGCATGTCATTTGTTGTTTGGAGAGCTCATGGTAGGGGTAATAGTAATAGTAATAGTAATAATAATAGTAATAGTAGGGGTAATAGTAGGGCGATTTCTAGGTCATATAGTAGAAAGGTGATGGCAACTAGGAAAAATTTTATGGAGAAAGGAATGCGAGCAGAATTTAGTGGGTCAAAGCCGCATTCATAAGGGTCGGTTTTTTCTGTGTAGGGGTTGAGTTGAGGTAGTCAGAATATGATGATTATTAATAGTAGGATCAGAAGGGTGTTGATTATTAGGGCTAATACTAGGTTAATTACTCTTTATTGAATATTGTCGAAACTGGCTAATTGGAAGTCAACTGTACTAATTATACTAAAAGAGTAAGATCCTCATCAGTAGATAGAAATATAGAGGAGGCCGGGCGCGGTGGCTCAAGCCTGTAATCCCAGCACTTTGGGAGGCCGAGACGGACGGATCACGAGGTCAGGAGATCGAGACCATCCTGGCTAACACAGTGAAACCCCGTCTCTACTAAAAATATAAAAAATTAGCCGGGCGAGGTGGCAGGCACCTGTAGTCCCAGCTACTCGGGAGGCTAAGGCAGGAGAATGGCGTGAACCCAGGAGGCGGAGCTTGCAGTGAGCTGAGATCTGGCCACTGCACTCCAGCCTGGGTGACAGAGCGAGACTCCGTCTCAAAAAAAAAAAAAAAAAAAAAGAAATATAGAGGAATAATCAGACTACATCTACAAAATGTCAATATCAAGCGGCGGCTTCAAAGCCGAAGTGATGGTTTGATGTGAAGTGGTATAATAGTTGGCGAATAAGACAGATAGTGAGGAATGTAGATCCAATGATAACGTGGAGTCCGTGGAAGCCTGTGGCAACAAAGAATGTCGAACCGTAGATACCATCGGAAATAGTAAAGGGTGCTTCAAAGTATTCTGAGATTTGCAGTAGGGTGAAGTAGATGCCTAGTAGAATTGTAATGAGCAGGGCTTGGATTATTTGTTTTCGGTTATTTTCTATTAGACTATGGTACATAGACTATGGTACATAGTCACACAGGTGATTGTGACTCCTGATGCAAGCAATACAGAGGTGTTTAAAAGGGGTACTTCTAGTGGATGTAGGGGAGTAATTCCTGTTGGTGGTCAGTGGCCTCCTAGGTGGGGCTGTCAACCTCGAGCAGATGGGCCAGTTTGCATCGCCCTGAGTGCCAATAGCCAGGGCACCGTGAGGCTGCATAAAAAATACCTATGACAAGATGCACATGAGACAGACAAATGTCTTCACATTGAAGAAGGGGAGGAGTGCACCGTTGATTTCCATGCTCCAGAGGCACTGAGTAAGCTCCACCTAACCTGTGCCCCCTCCTTCTTTGCAACACTTCTCATCCTTAAGCCTTGGTAGGAAGGAGAGCCATCTGGAAGCCCAGAATCCTATCGGATGCTGAGTCTCCCTTCTCCTTATCCCTTAGTTTTGGAATTCTTATTCCCCAAAGCCTTAGATTTAACCGTGCCACACGCTGCTTGGAGAGAAGCATTTTCATATTCACAGGAACGAGCCTTAGATACAACTTTGCTCCTCTCATGGGGGCTTCAGGACACTGAAAAGCAAAGCTTGTGACCAACGCTTGCCCTTCCTTAAGTACATTAAATACATCCCCAATAGTTAAAAAGATTCCTAAACAGCCAGGCCATTCTCCCTCCTTCTAACCCTCACCTCCTCGGCCTGAGAAATCCCAGCTGTGTGATCCGGGGCTTGATTTTCCCTGTCTTCCCCATCCCAGCATCCTTCCAGGAAACAGCCAGTCTCCCTCTCTGCTCTCAGAAGGCAAGTTCCCTTATCACCTGTGAATCACAAACCCACAGAGTGGCCAAACACAGCCGGGCTGATGCAAGACCCTGGGAAGGGGAAAGCTGCGGGTTTGTTGGTCTTGGGAGCAGCAGTGACCCTCACCTCACAGACACTTCCTCTCCCAATCCTCGGGAGGTATAAAGACGGGTCCTCCACCACCAGTCAGGCACACTCTACCACCATGAATCCACTCCTGATCCTTGCCTTTGTGGGAGCGACTGGTGAGTTTCATGCCCTGCCTCAGGCCCCACCCACCCCTTTCCTGGCAGACACATGCCCTTCCATTCTTGCCACCTCTCTTCTTTTGACTGTGCTCTGATATTCTATTTCCTCCATCTGGCATCTCTACTTCCCATCCTCCCTGGGCTCTCTTTAAGCCTCACCTCTTTCACCTTCTCCCTGATTTCACTCCCACCACTGCAATTCATCCATATCCGAGCTGGGGATAGAGATGCTGGGAAGGGAGACCAGGTGAGGCTGGCCCATGAAATAAAGCAGTAGGCTTCAGGCTTGGCTCCCACAGCACCAGAATACCTCCACTATAGCTGCTCTTAACCTCGAATGCACCTGGGAGGTGGAAAAATTACTCGTGCCAGAGACTCAACTCTAGAAATTCTCACTTCATTTGTCTGGGGTGCAGCCTGTGTTCCGGGCTTTTAAGCTTCTCAAGTGATTTTTAACATTTCTAGACATGCAGCCAAGGTTAAGAATTGCTGTTCTTTTGGACAATAATGACATCTACATTTGTTTTGCCGAAGTGAGCCAGGGGCTGCTCTCAACTCTGCCCTTATTACACAGATCTGAGCTGAGGGGGAAGCTGGTCATGGCCAGGTCTACTCAGCCAGGGGGTTTTCCTAGCTTGACCAAAGTCTCCTGACCATCCAGGGCTTAAATAGCCAGGTGGAGTACACAGGTGGTGAATAAAAGAGAGAAGCATTCAGTGGGTGAGACAGACACATCCCAACTCCTATCCCACTGGAAGCATTGTGAGGACATTCCTTGCATCCTCAGCCTGGTGACCCCAGGAGAGATCTGAACACCTGCAGGGTACCTAGCTATGTTCCCTTCAGACACAGAGACTTGGGAGCCACATCCAGTGATGCTCACCAGGAGTGGCAGCGCTCACTCCCTTGCCTAGCCTCACTGAGCTTCTTAAGGATTTCTAATTAGCAGAGAGCAACTGCACCCTGGGAGCACCACCCCTAACATGCAACTGACTTGCCTTCTCCCTTCCCGTCTCCATTCCAGTTGCTACCCCCTTTGACGATGATGACAAGATCATTGGGGGCTACACCTGTGAGGAGAATTCTGTCCCCTACCAGGTGTCCCTGAATTATGGCTACCACTTATGTGGTGGCTCCCTCATAAACGAACAGTGGGTGGTGTCAGCAGCTCACTGCTACAAGCCGTAAGTGTGGGGCCCCTGACTGCAAAGTTCCAAGCCAGGCTGCCTGGGAGAGCTTGGCTTCAGCCCACGGAAGTACTGAGGTTGGGTAGGATGGATGGGAGAGGTGGTAGAGAAGAAAACTTGTTGGCAGCAGCTGACTCTCCAGAGCAGAGAGTGAACACAAGACAGGAACCTCTCACACCCAGGCAAATCCATGAAACAGCAAGGGTTGTGGTCATAAAACCAGGCAGGAATGATCTTGGAGTGGACTGAGCTTGTGAGAGAAGAAGGCAAGTACTTTTGCTGGTTAGCTACACATTAAAGCCACCTAAGAAAGAGTTTTTAAAAATACTGATGCCTGTGTCCTATCCCAGGGCAATTAACTCAAAATTTTCAGGAAGAGGGTGTGAATATCAGTATTTCATACTCTACTTCTGGTAAGTATAGAGTGTATAGACAGAGCTGAGAACCGCCACCTACGCCAAAAATTCTCAAACCTGAGTATGCATCAGAACCACCTGCAGACTTGCTATGGCACAAATCACTGGGTCCCATCCCCAAGGTTCTGATCAGTAGGTGGGGGTAAGGACCAAGAATTTACATTTCTAACAAGTTTCCAGGAGATGCTAATGCTGTGGCTACCCTTGGATTAGATTACACAGAAGGGTGGTGCTCACCAGGCCAAGAAGGGAGGGAGGAACAGGCACTGTGCACAGTTAGCAAAGGCTTGGGGTGAAGAATGCTGGGAAAAGTACAAGGAGCGCTTTGTGCCCACAGTGCTGGTGACTGTGGAAATTGTGTGAAAGAGGCTGGGAAGACGGGATGAGGAGCAGCCTCTGGTTCATCCCTTTGACTCTTCCGCACCCCACTAACAACAACCTCTGAAGCAGAAAGGTCCTGGGTCTCCCACCTGCACTGACCCACATCCCTCTACTGCCCATGTGATATGGCCACGTACTCCACCCCATGGCCCCAGAGCTGTCCATGAGCAGGGAGCTTAAGGACCCTGGGGAAGGTGGGAATGGGTGCCCCGGCTGTGGGAGAAGGTCTTCACCATGTCTGCCCTTCCCAGCGGACGCATTCAGGTGAGACTGGGAGAGCACAACATCGAAGTCCTGGAGGGGACTGAGCAGTTCATCAATGCAGCCAAGATCATCCCGCACCCCCAATACAACGAGGTTAAGAAATATAACAATGACATCATGCTGATCAAGCTTTCCACACCTGCTGTCATCAATGCCCGTGTGTCCACCATCTCTCTGCCCACCGCCCCTCCAGCTCCTGGCACCGTGGGCCTCATTTCTGGCTGGGGCAACACTCTGAGCTCTGGTGGTGAGTGGCACCCTTTGTCCTTCTACTTCCCTCCATCCTCCCAATTTCCAGAATGAAGCATATCCCTTAATTTGAATCCTCTCGCCCCCAGGCTTAAGATACATTTCCAGTGCCCATTACACACAGGCTCTGCACTGAACATGAGAGAGATGCAAAGTCTAAGGACTTGGCTCCTAATTCAAAAGACAGGACAAATGGAGAACTTGTTGTGATCACATCTTGGGAGGGGTTCAACAATGATCATTCTGGGAACTAAAAGCCAGAGTCCCTTGCCAGGACTTATGTTTTGGAGTCCTCTCCAGGAGCAGTGTTCCTATTCAGTGTTCCATCCTAGATTATTGTCTCCTTCTCTGGCCTGACCCACATTTCGACTTTCTTTGATCTCTGCCTGATCCTCACAGCCGACTACCCAGACGAGCTGCAGTGCCTGGACGCTCCTGTGCTGACCCAGGCTGAGTGTGAAGCCTCCTACCCTGGAAGGATTACCAGCAACATGTTCTGTGTGGGCTTCCTTGAGGGAGGCAAGGATTCCTGCCAGGTGATTTGAACAACCCTTCCCATGCTGAAGCTCCCACTGATACTCAGGCTCCATCTCGAAAAAAGATTTCAACTCCCAAGGCGGTGGGGTGGAGAAGGCTCCCTGCAGTGTCCCCATGGAGAAGTGAGGAAGGCTCCCTTGGGCTGCATGCTCTCTGCTTAGGAAGAACAGAGAATGAGCCACTGTGAGAAGGACGTGGAGCCATAGAGCTGGCTGGAAAGGGGTCTTTTAAGGTTCAGAGTAAATATAGCTATATTCCTCCTCCATCTGTCCATACAACTTGTACCTTCTTCCACCCAGGGCGACTCTGGTGGACCTGTGGTCTACAACGGAGAGCTCCAAGGAGTTGTGTCCTGGGGTTATGGCTGTGCCCAGAAGAACAAGCCTGGAGTCTACACCAAGGTCTACAACTATTTGGCCTGGATTAAGGACACCATAGCTGCCAACAGCTAAACCCCCAGTCACTCTGCAGTCTCTATACCAGTAAAGTGACCCTGTTCTCACTATTTGTGTCTGTGCCTCCTCCGTCACACTCCTTCACACTGGAAAGCATCCTCCAATCTCTGGTCAGACACGACTGTCCCCCTTAAAGGTAAGCAGAGCCCCGAGCTCCCAAAACGTGTTGCATGGTATACTAGATTAGCCCATACAAAGAGATGGAATCCAAAAAGAATAAGAAGCTTGGGAGAAAAGGGGGTACTGTTTTCAAGAGAAACGTGTGTTTCAGAAAGGTGGTCTTTTGGTGGGGAGGTTGATTTTTATTTGGGCTTCTCACAGTGGTTGGAGCTACTCTACCTTCAGAACAACCACAGCACAGAAAATGTGTCAGCATCTTCCAGACAGCCCAAAAAATTTGACGAGCTAAATCTTATAGCTAAACTACAACAATAATTACAAATGCTACTGATGATGACATGCCTCTCCCAGGAATGTTTTGGTACCAAACCCTCAATCAAGCCCTCCCTTCTCATTGACCTGGAAAATCAGACTCAAGTAAATCTCCCTGGCCCCCTAATTATCCCTGAACTCCCTACTTCCATCTCTGTGAGCAGCTAGAGAGATGTCCCGCCTACCATAGCGGGAGCCTGACTGCAACTTGCGAATCAAGCCCAGCTCTGCACACTGCATTTTCCTCTTCTTTGACTTTGGGATAGGACATTGCAGTGAATCCCTCAGCTAACACCAGCTCCCCACTCTGACCAGGGAAAGAAACTAGAGAGGGTCAGGATTCACCCATTTGATCAATTAACTGAGAAAGGATTCATTTTCATAAAACTTGTTCGCCTTTAAGACACTTCAAATGAGTTATTTGGGACTCTTTAAAAAAGGTAGAAGGAAAGATCTGAGGGCTGTGACACCATCCAGCCACTCTGGCCACATGTTGGCTGGCTTGCACCCACTGGACACAGCAGAGGGAGGCAGGCCTGGTGGCAACTCTGGCACCTGCCAAAGCCTCCTCGTGGCAATTCTGAGAGGGCCCATGTTGGGTCCATAGCTCATCCAAGCTTGTCACCGAAGATCCAAGCAAGCTTCTCTTTGAAATTCCACCTTCACCTTCTGTCCCAAGTGGTTGTGGACACCCCTGGGAGCTGGAACCAAGGGCCAGGAGCAGCCAAGGGAGACAGACAAGTTCAGAGCACATTTCCTGCTACAGGGAACACAGCACAGGCCTCCAAGTGTCCAGGGAGCAGCGTGCAAATTGCAGTGATGAGTAGAGTAAAACTCCTACATGGAGCACAGCATTCCTGGCCAACACAGGGGACCTCAGTCCACTTGCTGTGCAATACATCCAAGTAAGCATCAGACACTTGTTTGGTAAACAGTAAATGTGTCAGATCAATTACCTTGAGAGGGCCATCTCGGCTCCAGATGTGTGATTCGTATGAGGAGACGGCTACCACTCACTATCTTCGGAGGAAAGCAGGGATCAGGGCTCACACACAATGGACAGATACACACGGGTTACCCAGAAAGTCACTGCATACAAACATCACTTTGTTCAACAAGGATTTTGTTTTTATGGAGTCCAAAGGCAGACAGACCATAGTTCACCTTACAGCCTTGGGTTTGTCTGCTTTTGGAGAGAGAGATATATATACACAAGATAGATAGACAGACAAGATAGATACATTTTTTCCCCTTTCTTACCATAATGTCAATGCCTCGTCTGAATATTATCATCACTCAAGAGTCAAGGGAAGAACCAAACGCTTCATAGAAACAGGGCTGGGCAGGGAGTGTTAGTTTCCACCATTTTCCGTCTCCATTCAGATCATTCCTATCAAAGCCCAGCTGGTTACCTGAAGCCAAGAGACAGACATAAGGATCCCAGTGGCCTTCCAGACAGCTACTTCTACCTCCTACCTGGGCCACTTAGAGTCTTGACACAGAAAAGTGAGTCACCCCACTCAGAACGGTTGTCAACAGAAACAGGGCATGAAAAACACAGATAACCATGGCATTTCTTACAAGTGGTCAGTGTAAACTAAACCAACACTACCACCAACAAAAACACAAAACAAGCAAAAAAATCCTTATCGAAAATTCAAGACAAACTACTCTGTAGAGTCAGGCCATGAGGTTGCCTTTTCCCAGGCCACACAGCTTTCCCAGTCCATTTGCTCACATGGAACCGTGAGATGTGAAGGTCTCCAGAGCGTGTGCTCGGGATCGAGGCTGGCACTGTTCACCTGTGGGTCCAGAACAAAGGGCAAAGAAGCAGAAAGCTGCAACTCTGTCCACTGCCACAGCTTATGCCCTCCTTCCCAGAGAGGCTCCGAAAAGCCCCCACCTCAGCCTTCACACAAAACATCTCCTTCTGCCTCAACTACAACCAGGCTGGAGTGCCGTGGCATGATCTCTGCTCACTACAACGACTCCTGGGTTCAAGTGATTCAGCCTCCCAAATCGCTGGGATTACTGACTCCCACCACCATGCCCAGCTATTATTTTTCTTTTTGTTTTTGTATTTTTAGTAGAGACAGGGTTTCACCATGTTGGCTAGGCTGGTTTTGAACTCCTGACCTCAAGTGATCCAAAGTGCTGGAATTACACTGTGTGCCGCCGCTCCTGGCCTGGGCCCCATTTGAAAAAAAATAATTCCAACTTTTATTTTACATTCAGGGGGTACATGTGCAGGTTTGTTACATGGGTATATTGTGTGATACTGAGATTTGGGACACAAATGATCTCATCACAGCAGAGAGCATAGTACTCAATAGGTAGTTTTTCACCCTTTCCACCCTTCTTCTCTCTTCCCTCTAGTAGTTGTGTATTTATTGTTCCCATATTTATGTCCATGTGTACCCAATGCTCAGCTCCCACTTATACACGGGAACGTGATATTTGCTTTTCCATTCGTATGTTAATTTGCTTAGCATTATGGTCTTCATCTCCATCAATGTTACTGCAAAAGACATGATTTCATTCTTTTCATGGCTGCATAGCATTACACCGTGTATGTGTACCACATTTCCTTTATCTAGTCTACTGCTGATGGCCACCTAGGTTGATTCCACTGTTCACTACTGTGAACAGTGCTGTGATAGACATTCAAGAGCATGTGTCTTTTTGGCAGAACAATTATTTTCCTTTGGGTAAATGCCCAGGAAAGGAATTGCTGGGTAAAAAGGTAGTTCTGTTTTAAATTATTTCAGAAATCTACGAACTGCTTTCTGCATTAATTTTTCCATGAACTAATTTACACTCGGGCCAACAGGGTATCAGCATTCCCTTTCCTCTGCAGCCTCACCAGCATCTTCCTTTTTTTTTTTTTTTTTTTTTTTGACATTTTGATAATAGCCACTCTCCAGCCAAGCTCTTTCAAGGCCAACACAGGGAAGAGCCACAAACATCCCTTTTCCCAAAGAGAATTCTTGCCTGCCCACTGGTAGAATGCTTGTTTTCATCTGTCTTTCGTTGTTTGACAAAGAAAAACCGAAGGTAAAGTGGTATGATTTTCCACACCTGAACCAGTTTGCAGCCACCAGAGCCTGCTGGGAAGCGGACCCTCAAGCATACATTGATCTTGTCACCTGGAATTTGAGAGATCAAGAAGACCCATAGCAACCGACCATACACCTGCCCATCAGTGCCCATCCTTTCATGGGATTAGCTCAATTCTGGCTCTGCGGACACTGGCAGCCACAGGTCACAAATCCTGGGCCACTGTGGGCTTCCCTCGTCACCCAAGGCCACAATGGGCTGCCTGTCCTAGGCAGAGACACAGCAACATTCTATTAAACTGAAAATAAGCTTAAATCCACTTCACAAATAATCATCTGAGGGCACTGTCCCTGCCCGCATCCTCGGGGATTTTAAAACACACATCTCTCTGACCCAAACAGGTAGGTGAGATCTGACTTTAAAGGGGGGGAAATCGGGATGAATTGAGGTATCAGGAATGGATCCCAAGTGTTTTTTAGGTAGGAACAGGCATCCACATCCCAAATTGTACCTGGAGATGGAAAAAAAGGCAGGAGAGAAGGACAGAAAAAAAGGGGGACAAAGTGGCTAAAAGTAATTGAAAGCTTCTCTTGTGGTTCTTTCCAGCTCTGGCTGCTTTGCTGAGGTTGTAGGTGAAGGCAGGGTCAGCTCTGGCTGGGAGCTGCTGCTCTGGAAGATGGGAGAGTCACTTCACCTCCAGAAAGCTCATTTGATCATCTGTAAAACGGGGAATCCCATAGTTCGTTGTGATGATAAAATGAAAAACACATTCTTAACATGTATAAGTTACATACTGTATAGTAAGGTACATGCTATATAGTAAGCACACAAAAATGATTCACTGTTATCATAATTGAAGGACAGTGGTTTGGTGTGCTAAGCACTAAATACAAACCAGAAAGATGTCTTAGAGAAGTAGACAAAGAAAACTGTAGTTCAGAATGAACAGTAGCAAGAATGGCATGTCCTCCAAATTGAGCTTGGGCAGCTGGATCTGAACCTATCCTACACATGTGAGTCTACGGTATGAAGTAACAGTCTCCACCTATAGCTATCTTTGCTGCCTACAAGGTCATTCATTTTTGAACAAAGCTGACCTCAGACTATACTGTGATCATTTAAGGAAGAGCACAAAATACTGGAGAAGGCTAGTCTTCAAGCTCTAGATACAGAAATCCTCATATTCTTGGGTGTTCCCTTTCAGACAGAGAGTCAGAGACACAAGCACTAATCCAAAAATCATCCCTTTTCCAAAAAATTTTCCACCTTCTACCAAGGTTCACCTCCCTGTTTAGTGCACACTGGTGTCTACAGTTGCTAGAGCAAGAGTCTCTCCTTATCCTCCAAGGCAGGAGTTCTGTGAAGACCCCATGACAAGGGGGCAAAATGAAACATGTTTAGGACAACAAAGGAAAACCCATATTATCAATGCTCCAAAACCTGGTTACCTCAGGCTTGGCCAGTTATTCATGAGCAGAGAAGTGTGTCATCTACATGGCAGTCATGGCCTGGATGGGTCTGGAACTGTGGCAAGGTAAGGCTCTGAGACAAGGTGTCA